CTTCCACTGATATCATCACACAACCTTCTGCTCCCAGAGTAACAATTACCAGCTTACAGCCTCTTTCTAATAGCACAAGTCCCACCTTTCCAGCATCTTCAGGGCTGCCAACTGGGATGCCTGTTAAAATTTCTGCCTGAAAAATAATAATAAAAAAATCAAAATCATGACCAGATAGCATGAATTTTGCAGAAAATGATTGAACTTTAAAACATTTAATTTTTTGTAAGTTAGTTAGGTGAACCAAATATTTTATCTTTCCTAACAATATTCAGAGTTGTGTTTACTGAAGGATTTATTCAAACAACTGACTGGGTCAAATTATTGAATCTGCAATGAATTTGTCATGTTATATGTATGTCTGTGGCTTTTGATGATGGTATGTGCATTTCAGTGTAATTACACATGTAACGCACAGAGACAGAGAAACACACATACAGGTTTGGATGAGTGCTTTTTGGGGCAGAGTTTGTATAAGACTGAACTGTAAATAAATACATGTTCATACACAGACACACACTCACAATCAAACAAGCAAAGTTTTTATTGCATAACCATTTTGAAATTATTTCCCCATCTCCCATGCAATGTACCGAAATACTCTTAAGTCTTGATTCATATTTGGCACGTGTCTTCTACAATTTAATATCCCTTCATCAATGCTATATTATGTTAACCTCCTTCAAATCCCTCTGTAATTCACTTCTGTTTTAATATCCACAAAATCCTGCCAGCTGACAATTGCTAGGCAGGTGGTGATCTGTGGTTACTGCTTTCCATAAGTAACTTGTTGCTTCCTCCTGCTCTTTACTGCTAACTCTTCCCCCCAGAATCCCATCTGTTTGTTTCATCCACCTGTTATAACGTCTTGTAAATTAAGACCATTTATTTTTTTATCCCTAATCAAGGCCATGAGGCACTATCAAAATACATTACAAATAGATTTTTGGAAACCTATAAATAAAATTAGGATTAATCCTAAAGCTGTAGAATTAGATTTAAGTGCAACCCATCTCTCAATACAGCCCATGGAACACTTCAGACCTGTCTCTCAGTATCTGTCACTGTAGTTTCCTGATTTTCTGTCTGCCCAAAACTCCTGAGCAGGGTAGGCTGTAAGAATGTAAAATCCCGTTTAATCAGTTAACTGCTTAAACGGAGGTGAGGGTGGCACGGCAGGCTGTTCTGACCTGGCCAGGTCTGCCGTTGGCAGGGGCTGCTTGGGGCAGGCTAGGCCCACCATACCATGCTGCAAGTGGGGGGGGCGGGGGGGAGGGAGGAGAGAGTTTGCTCTAGCTTGACTGTGCCTCCAGTTGGTTAACCACTGACATCCCTACTAGACTGCCACTGAGGATCTCCCCCTCCAGCCTTCAAAGGCCTATATACCCTGATATGCTGCCCCAGAGAATTTGCAATATAGTTAATGATATTTCTTGATGGGATTTATTTTGTACATACACTTAGGATAAAATCCTGCAGCTCTTACTCAGGCAAATCACCCACTGATTTGTGGGACAAGAACGTAATACACTTTAGATTGAGAAGGTTATTAAACCTACCATGGTTTGATTGATGGATGTCACTACACTGTGCAAGGCCCTCCGGAAATGGAGAATATTTAAGTACATTAAATCCATGCAATTTTTTAAAGCTAAAATTCAAATTATCTGCAAATAAGCTATTTAAATATCAGCATAAAATGTCACACAGTACTTTACAAAACTTGGCAACTATGCCTCTTCTATGACACTTGCAAGAAACTAGCCAGCCAATAAGAGTTGAGTAGAGGGGAAGTTAGGGATAGTGGATAATTACTTTTTACAGAAGTGTATTTATTTTTATTGCATCATCATAGCTCTTTGAATATTGACTGTGTAGAATATAAGATCTTTGGAACACGGAGTGTGCACAGTATTTTGCATATTGTACGTATCACTGCAATAAAAATAAAAATAAATACACTCATACAAAAACTGGGGAAAACAGAGTCTTAGGCCATTTCCACATTAGCAATTATGCTGGCAAAACTTCTGTTGCTCAAGGGTGTGAAAGAAATGCCCTCCCTTCCCCACCTTTTCTAGTGTACACTTGCCCCCTAGTTCGAACTAAGGAAGCAAACGAAGGCGACCGAAGTTGCTAATGAAGCGCGGGATTTAAATATCCCACGCCTGATTAGCAAAGTCATGGCTGGTTGCCATTTTGGAAACTGACTAGCCCGATTTAACTTGCCGGGTATAGGAGTATGAGTACCACCAGTTAATTCGAGTTAAGGGGTTTTTCTTGGAGTACCATGTCTATACGTGGCAAGTTAAATCGGGCTAGTCAATTTCCAAAATGGTGACCGGCCGCAACTATGCTAATCAAGCATGGGATATTTAAATCCCACGTTTCATTAGCAACTTCGGTCACCTTCATTTGCCTCCCTAGTTTGAACTAGGGGGCAAGTGTAGACGTACCCCTAGTGACATACGTTTTACTGGCATAAGCTCTCATGTGCACTGTGCTATGTTGGTGGGAGATGCTCTCCTGCTGACACAGCTACCACTGCTCAATTAGCTGGTTTTGTATCTTGTTGGCATAATGTGGCTACAATCATGCTCTTACATCAGCACAGCTGAACCAATACTGTTGTGCTGCTGCAAGCTTGTAAGTATAGACATGCCTAAGTGACTGTGGAATTTGCTCCACCACAAATGCCAGATTTGTTAATTTTCTAGGGATGCTATTTTTTTAGGCCTTTGGGAAAGGAGTGGGTTTTATTTGGTAGGGAACTAGTCAGTTTGATCTGGGTTTAATTGGGCTGATTTTTATTTATTTTTGCTGCTCTTTGGCCAGTGGAAGAATGATGGGGATTTCCTAAAATTATGAACATGAAAACATTACTTCAGTTTGTATGAATGTTAGCTTTAAATTTAAAAAAGTCTCCAAAAAATCTTGAAGTTGACCTTATAGAAAGCAAAACAAAAAAGGAAATTGAGGCTGTCCTTTGTAACACAAAGTTCTCATTCTGTCTGCTCAGGTTTTTATATTGTGGTCATCATCTGGAATCTAAGACAAGGGGGCTTTTGCCTGAGTAAAAAAAGCAGGATTTGCTTCATTGTTTGTGATTGTTGTTTTTTATGGTTAAACGGAAATTCCTCTACTTCAACCGCCTTGTTGATTACATCCATACAAAAAATATTTCTTAAAAGAGATTCTTCTGCACATAGCTTTGCTGCTACATATGTATGAACATAGCACTCCAGCTGCTTGTCACTGTTGAGATGTATCTTGTCTCTAGCAGGATGGTGAAACTAGAACATGCTGAAGCATACTAGGAGCCATTTTCCCACAGAAGTGGCAAAAACAGGACTGATATTCTGTGCCAATAGTTTGAATTTTACTGTAAATGTCAACTGATGTTAAATATAAATCTGTTGTGCTGTGTTATAAATTTCCTCCCATCAATAAAATCTCTTTAAAAAAAATACTGTGCGACAATTGAAGGAAATAACTAATGGTTGTCTTAAAAAAAATTTTAAGAACCACTGTACAATAACAATGCCCAAAGCCCAAGATGTACTTTTTAATAGCTTTTGATTGAACTCCATACGGCATCAAATAAAGGAGTCTATTTTTCTCTCACAAAACTCATACCGAGAGACAAAGAGACAGATTATATAAGGGTAAGGCCCACAAAACTGTCAATAAAATATATTTAAAATAAACATTTAGATCATGAAGCCACTATTTTATTCCAAATATGAGAGTTAACACAACAATAAGGCTGAAGAGCTGAGAACTCAAACATCAGGAAAAAATTATAATTAAGATTTGCTGTTCAGCCTAATTCTGCTCCCTTGTTCTTAAGCCTTAAAATATGGTCTTTATATTTATTGAGCAGGGCAATTTATAATTCCATGAAAAAGAATTCATATAAAAATTAAGGCTACATACAATTTTATGATAAACACACTATTTTGCAGTATCTACTTTAATGTCAACTATATAAAGTACATTATGTATTTCTATCTAATTTTGTTTTCTACTTTAATGTTGAAATATATACTATTTTAAAGAGAAAAATACAAATATAACATCCATAGATAATAACATAGTGACATTTGTGAATGTACTGTATACACTACAAGAAAGTACACTGAAACTACCACATAGATGCTAACCTGTAGAAAAATAAATTGAGAAACAGTGTGATCATTTATGCAAGACTACGTTCAGCCTCATTTTTTATTTTCTATCTTTTGAGTGTTTAACTATGTAAGCATCAGCTTATTTAATTGTATGGTATTATATTATATATTGCATTATCTGACATATCTATAATTAAAGACGGACCATATTTTAAGTCAAACAAAAAGAGGCAAAAAAAGACTGAATGTTCAATTTTACATTTGCTTTTATTGATATCTACGTGCTTGGTATCCCAAACATAACATTATACTAAATATAGTGTTTTGGGCATGGAACTGTCTTCATTTGTTTTGTTTTGAAAGGGGAAGATACATTTCAATTATTCAAATTGTGGCATTTGTAATTTAATTGATCTGGAGCTATTTGGCTGGATGCCCATAAGCCTATCATTCTTACCAAAGCCTTCCTAATCACTCCAGATTTTGGGGTCTCTCTGACTCATCCAGAGATTACTAAGGACAGATCATCAGCTGATATAAAATTTCTGTAAACTCTTTGGGAAAGGAACCATCTTTTTGTTCTGTGTTTGTACAGTGCTTAGCACAATACCCTACCTGGTCCCTGACTGAGCTTTTGAGGTGCAATCACAATAAAATAAAAATGGAAGTGTGCTGAGTTACACCAGCTGAGGAGCTGATGTTCAGTTCTTAAGGTTGTCAAGTCAAGATACGTGTCAATTTTAAATATTCAGAGTTTGAAACCTGCTGACCCAATATGTCTCAAACTTGACTTGAACCTTAAATTGTACTGTGAATGATATCACAATGTCTTAATTGTGTGAATTCTTATAGATAAGTAATCCCACTGAAGTCACTGAGATTGCTTGTGAGTAAAGGCCACACATCAAGTTAGTAGTTTGTAGCATTTAGTTGTTTCATATCACCAAGTTTCTAATCACAATACATGAGGAGGAAACACTTCTCATGCTAAAATAATTATAAAAAG